AGACGAGCAACGTGATTGAGTTGGCCTACAGGCCCCAAGTCTCGGGACGCACCCCTTGTCCCGCTTGTCCGTCCCAGGAGCTAGGTTCGCCGCCGAGCTGGTGTGTTTACAGGGGACAGAGAATATTTCTAGAACCTCTTGTGCGCACCCTTGAGAACTGGAGGCAACAGAGCCCAAGTCCAGGAGAGGTCCTTGGGGCCTATGCCCGCTGCTTTGCAGCCACTATTTCGACCCCTCGGACCTCATTACTTTCTACTGCAGTGATCCCTGTTCGAGAAGTCATGTATCTCATCAAATTGTGAGCGGCCGGACAAGCCGGATTGAGGCTGTAGGAGATGAGGTGAAGCCAGGCCAGTAATGGGGCATCCCTCAATCAGCTGGATCAGCCAGGCCAGCGTCTTTGTCCCATTGTGCGACCTGATCAGTCACCTATCGCAAGGCTGGCTGGATGGTTGAAACAACCGTTTTGCTGAGCATCGGATGCTCTCCAGCCGCATTCAGGGATGGCGACTTGAACGCAGATGCCGCCGTCGTACCCTTCGAGGCCAGGGGGTGAAGGCCAGCCACCTCTGGCTCCCAATGAGACCGCTTAGGCTCACCGAATTGACACTTTCGTGCATGTCCGCCGAGCCTGACTGCTCGCTTTTCCAAGCATGCAGGTTACAGGAGACCCTCAGTTTGACCATCGAGGCGGGGGCCGCAAGGATTTGTCTTTCGTGCAGCCGGCGAGTCCAGGCCCTGGGACCTATAGGGGGGGGAGGGGGCAACTAGGCTCTGCGTCGCACGGTTTCACCCAAAAATGCCTTGCCTAAACATGTTGATGATCATCGAGACTGCCAATGGGGTCATATGAGGAAAAGGAGGAATCTCGCTCTTGAAAACAAGAGAAATGAAGAAGATAACCCTGTTGGCTCTACGTGTTGCCAATGCTGTCTACTATGCATGTCACCCAAGGCCCCTCTCTGCTGCGCCTTTCCTCTCGTGTTCTAAGTAGCCCAAAATCGGAACCACACTGCACTCCTCAGACGGAATGTGTTGGCCATGCATGGCCATTGACATCCCAATGCTGACACAACTCCTTCTTCCACCTGCCTAGTCCTGCATGAACGCATGCAGGCTGAGAAAAGAAAACTTCCGAACGGACTCGGCTCGATGCGTACGTTGTTACGCCTGAGCTGACCTGACAGCACAGCCTGCAGCTTCGGAACGAAGGAACCCGTGTCTGGCCGCTTCTGCTCCAGCGTTGACCCCCTTTTATTTTTGGCCTGGGCGATAACAACGAAGGAACGGAAAGTGGCATCCGATTACCAACAGGTAAAGACAGGATTCCGTGCCTTGACAGGCTCGAGCCGCTCCACAATGACCTTGCGATGGTTACCCTCCATGCCCTCGGCTGCGGCATAGCCAAGGTCACCCTCGACGTCATCGCCGTCATACTCGGGATCGTATTCCCTGCTGCCGCCACCGTACAGTTGCTGCGCAATGCTGCTGCTGCTGCGGCGCGTGGCGGCTGTCGCGAAGGAGTACCTGCGCTGCTGCTTCGGGCCAGATCCTGTGTATGGGCCCTGGCCCTGACGCTGCGGTGCGTACACGTTGAGCGATCGCGAAGGGCCGTGGTAACTCTCTCGAAAGCCCGGGACGGGGATCCTGGGCCGCTGGGGCGTCGACGTAGAGTGCTGATCAAGGGACCCGGATCCATTCATGTGGGAGTCTTCCACCGGCGATTGCGCATCGTCGGCGCCAGGCGACATCGGCATCTCGAACCGGCCGGGATGCGGCATATCAGCTGGGGGGCTAGCGAAGCCGAGGAGATCCTCGGCGTCACTGTCGGGACCATGAACGGGTGCTGAAGCGGCGGCAACGCCAATGTCGCCCTCGTCGAGGGAGGAGTGTTCCCCACGGCGGCGCAGCTCGGAAGACATGCGCATGGGGAAGGCAACGGGTATGTCGACGAGGTCGTCCCAAACGCAGACCTTGGCGCGACGGGTCAGCTCAAGAGGCCCGTGATCGGCGAGCTTGAGCGTCTCGACGACGTTCCAGGCCTGGCCCTTCATGACGGCCATCTGGCGGGCGAACATCTTTTCTTGGAAGTCCGGATCAACTTGGAATACCTTACGCAGGGCCAGGGCTGTCTCACTCCACCACTGGGTAGAGGTCAGAAGGGGTAGGAAGTGGTCACGCGTTTTCTGAGAGAAGGGGCGGCCGATGAGATCTACTGGGAGGAATAACCAGCCAAAGGGGAAGCTGAGTTCTTGTCAGGGCTTGATTCTCACCAGAAATCACGGAAGGTCATATGAACTCACCTGCGCCAGGCATCGGGGTGTTTCCACGGCCAAGACAAGGAATTGTCGATGGCTCCTACTGTAATCCTGGGCTCCCGCCCCCTTGGCAGCGGACTTGCCGCCTTCATCGGCTGTTGCGTCTCGTACGAAGGGTATTTCGCACGCGACTCTGGCATCGACCTTGTGGTTAGGTCTACTGGCCGCGGGCCTGCCTCCTCTGCTGACTGGGCGTTGGCCATGTTCATCTGCACAGGTTCCGAGACGACAGACACCTGCTGTGTCTGCCAGTCAACCTTGATCATCCAGTTGTCGAGGCCGCGGTCCGTATTCCGCATGATATAGTCCAGGATGACGAGCTTCTCAAGCTCCTCTCGGAAGGACTGCTTCATGTTATCTGTCCAGACGAAATTGTCGGGGCCAAGCTGGACCTCGTCGCGTTCGCCCTCGTCGTCGCTCTCAACATCGTCAAGCGCAGGCCGGCCGCCACCAGGGCGACAGTTATCAGCCCACCGCCTCCTCCTCTTGCGGTGGGGGTCATTGGTGCGGAAGCCGGACCAGTACTGGTCGGGCCATGGGTGCTCTCGCAGGAAAATGTTCGCGTCCTTGAAGCCTGTCAAAAAGACTTGGAAGCTACCGGCCTTCTCAGGCAGGGCCTTCTTCTTGCGGGAGAAGCTGCGGCGGTCCCAGAAAGGGTAATGGAACGACTTTGAAGATAGGTTGACGACCTCTGTGTACGGGACCATATGAGTGCGGAGTTGGCAGTCGAGGGTATAGGCGGCGGCCTCGCTGACGTATGAGAGATTGGGGATGAGGCTACGGGTGGATTGTCAGTACTCTCCCTTCTTCACCTTCTACTCGTTTCCCTCTTCTAGAGAAACATACCAGGCGCGGCCGAAGCAGCAAGGAAACAGGTTGCGGTGGATCCATTTGTTCCATTTGGGATTGCCGGCAGCATAAGGTTCCTCGTCCTTGGGCTTAAAGACACCGACAATCTTGCCATCGGGATTCCGTGCAAAGTAACTCCCCGAGCTGCCCTGTGATATCATACGTGGATGAACGCCTTGAGCGATAGCGGTGCGCACACTGCCGACAATTTCTTCAAACTCGGCGCGCTTCATGACGGGCTGGGGCTCAGCGAGCCCCTCGGCAGTGAGAGGTCGTACGCCCTCCGGGGGCTGGAAGACGGAGTGGTGGATCTCGAGGCGGTCGTCCTCGCCGGGCTGCTTGTTATGGGCGCGGGAGCGCTTGAAGCGTGAAGCGATCTCGTCGGCCCAGCGCTCGAGGCGGGCGTTGATGGCCTTGAGATCGACACCGGAGCCGGAGCCGACGCGGCGGCGGGGACGTGGGCGCGTCTGTGACGAGGGCGCCGTAGGGTCTCGGTGGTACCCTTTCGGGGTGACCATGCCGGACCGGGGACGCGGCTGGGTTATTGGGGCGAAGCGAGGGGCTGAGGCGGGCTGGAGGGTGGCAGAAGAATGAGAGAGGGGGTCTTCATCTTCCGAGTCGGAGGAGAGGGCATCGGCCTGGGCGAGGCGTTCATAGCCCGTCGTCGGGGGGCGTGTTGGGGGCATCGTGTGAGAGTCTAGACTGTAGACGTTCGGGGGAGGTGATTTCGTGTTTCGACGGTTGTCTCCGGTCCACCAGTTCAGGTGTTGTAGTTGTTGTTGCTGTCGTCGTCGTCTACGTCGTTGTTTGTGGTTGACGTCGGGTGCCCCTTAATTTCAGACGATGCAACTGGAGGACTCCAGGCTGGTTTTGGGAGGGGGGTAGATGATCGGAAGGACGGACGAGAAAGGGAGTATACAGAATGGCAACGGCACAGAGCCAAAAGGGGGCACGAATACAGTGGGCAAGCAAGGAATACGGGCGGCGTGGCCTCGGAAGTAGTAGCACTCAGGAGTAGGTCATGGTGTAGAAGATGTGGGTGGACGTGGCATTGGATCGTGACGTGACGTGACAGCTTAAAGCTGTCAACTAGAAAGTCGATTCGAGGAACAGGTGCACTTTCCAGGCTCTGGCCTTACACGTGCTTATCCACTATCTGTCTGCATGGGGCAAGGCAGGCAAGGCAGGCAAGGCAGGCAAGGCAGGCAAGGCAGGCAAGGCAGGCAAGCAGGCACGACGCACAGGGGGCCTCCTTCTTCTTAGGTAAGGAAGTCTGACTAGCGCTGCCTGCTCCCTCCCTCCCACCCACCACACACCACCTGCGCCTTCCCAAACATCCAACCAAATCCCAAGAGGGAAGCTACTCCAGCTGTCACTCCTCCTACCTGAGGCAAGGTGCATTATCTTTCCTAATGAGTAGGTAAATTCAACGATTTCTGCATGAGGCAAATCAAAACCCGACAGCATAACGAAAATGGCCAGACCCGGCGTCTTCAATGAACAGCAACACCGTCGATGTACAACCCTGAACTGGTATCCGAGCACGCAGCTGTCATGTATACATACCAGACACCTGCCCTGCCGTTTGCACTCTGGGGCAATGTCACGCTGAACGACCGCCATAGGCCTCCCGCGATGGAGCCCGGCTGCAACCCGTAGCCTGCTTCATCACTGGTCCAGCCCAGAATGGGACCACAACCCCCCGGGTTCCCACTTGCAGCCCGGAAACTCGCAGTCAGCCGCCAGTCGCGGCCCGCCGGGTTGGGGTACAACGTCACGGGCACCGCCACCGCGAAGTTGCGAAACGCCTCGTTGTCGAGGGACACGTAAAGCATGCCAGCGCCAAAGAGGCCCGAAAAGGAACCGTCCGCCGATGTCCGCACGATGCGGCACGGGCTCTGGTCAACGTTGCGGCACCAGTCTCCCGAGCCGTCACCCGACTCGAAGAGGGCGTTTGGCACGTTGGAGCTGCCGGGTGGGCCTGCTACCGTCGGGTCCGTCGCGATGGACGTGACTGTCGTGACGCTCGTCACCGTCGACGTGCTGACCGACACGGGACAGGTCGTCGTCTGTGGCATGGGCGTCGTTGTGGGCGTCGTGGTAGGCGTCACCGTCGTCGTACTCGGTCTCAGGCACGCGCAGGCGCTGGATACCCTAGCTGCGCTACCACCGCACCCCGACGCGTAGGTTGGCAGGTCAGTCGTAGCAGGACTCGCCGCGGCGGTGTATGTGCTGCAAAAAGCCACTGCCTGTGAGACGACGGCGCTGTTGCGGAGGCCACGGAGGCAGTTATCAGCGTTGCATGACGCTGCTTGTGACTGTAGCAGCAGCGAAGCCACCGCCATGACTGATACGAATGTCCTCATCTTATTCTGATATGAGTTGTTGATGCGCCTTTTGATTGCTCGGGGTAGGTTTCTGCTTCAAGGCTGCGTGCCAAACTGATAACCTCACGAAGCTGGTTTGGACACGCAGCATATATGCTTCTCTCCATCTGCCCCTGTCTGCTCAAATATACCCTTGATATCGCTCTTATGAACTGTGCCTCCGGCATGCTTCAATAGCTCGCCGTGAACGCCGTGTTGCTTTGTACCAGTCAACGGCGTTGCCGGCACCTGAGGCCCAATGGCGGCGACCACTCGTCATCATTGCTTATTTTCAGCTCGCCCTGGGACTGCAGTTGTGTCTCTTTTCAGACGCACGCGAAGCGCCCTGGGGCTAAGACGGTGAACAACGCCGCGCCAATGCATGTCAGACCGACCTCTCTTGCTTACCCCGCCATCATCCCCAAGGCCTTCGGTACTCGCGCAGCAAGACTCGACTAGCCATCAAAAGTTTGTCCTGGGCGAGCAAGATTCACCATACCTCGGATCCCGGGCCAACCGTAAGCTCGCCGGAAACATTGGCTCTGAGCCTACGAACAGCCTGTTTTCTTTCTTCCCAAGGTCGGGTTGTGCTTCGAGCCTCGGTGCTGAAAGGAAATGTCCAGCAATATGTGCACTCGCATGATATGCTTGGCGTCTATTCCTACGGCAAAGGTGTCCGACTGTGGATGAAGCTGCCGACAGCAGGTGTTCATCGACTGAGGAACCTCTAGAAACTGCAATACGCAGAAGAGATTATGCTGCGGCACGGAACTTTAGGCCTGCATATTCACATTGGATATACCGAAGGTTGCGTTTCACTTGCCCATTGCCTTCAGCAGACCATCAAATCTCATGTTAGGTCAATACGATGTCTGTACCCGAAGTATTGACAACTTCGCTGCCTATTTGCAGCCACGAGACACTCTTGCTGAGCTCCTGTCGAACAACATACATCGTTCCGTGTCTAGGGCTGGCGAGTGTCAGTCAACAGATACTACTGTCAAGACAAGTGAAGTTGTTTGACAAAGTCCAGCCGGAAGTTTCCAGCAAGCCAATGTTATGAGCATCGATTGAACACTCTATCGCTGACTTGTCGCCGAGGCCTGTGAGAAAGCCGGCCGTTCCTGGCTAGGATTCTGTCTCCGCAATTGCGCAATGTGGGCTAACTTTCCGTTGCAGTGGTATATAGATTGCCCCGAACCGTTGGACATGTGTAGAACGCATTGTTGGGCCCGCGAGGACGGCATATGATGAGCATGTGCGGGTTCGTTCAGACGCTGACTGAAATGGGGAACTGATCGCCATGCTGGAATATTGCGAGCCTCACTTTTTCCTTGATGTGAATTGACTGAAATAACAAGACGAGAAGGAGACGCACAGCATCGCATATCACAAAGCGCCAATCCAGATACCCAGACGCTTCGGATCACCATGATACGATTTCCGTTTTCGTCAGAGTAGAAAAATCGGAGCCGATACCAGCCACTACCCCGCGACGTGCTGGCGCCACGCCTCCGGCGGCCAGGCATTGGACAGTCGGAGCAAGCCCACGCATGCTTGACGATCAGGGAGTGTCCTGCCACCTCCTCCTGATGATCGGACGGGCGCAATGCAAAGCCAAACGGAAGATGGGAAACAGAAGCCAAGGTCCACACCACGGGAAGAGCTGTCCGCTCTGCATCCCCGTGACTTGAGCTATGCTCTCAGGGCGTATCCCCAGTAATTGGCGTTCTTCTTCTTTTCTTCTCATTTTGATTGGGGTTTTCTTCTACCTTTGGGCATCGATCAAAGAGCTATTCCCTTTTCTCGTTTCATCGAAAACCCCATCAATTCATCTCGTCAACGCTGGAGGATTCCCTCCCGGACTTCGCTAAACCATTCGGTTTATTTCTGGATATTCTTTGCACGACCGCCCACAATGACTGCACATCTCGACGTCGTGCGGGCCTGGCGAGACGACGCGACAGCTCAACCGCCCGCCCTCGAGCTTGATAACCGCGGCCGCAAGCGACACCGGAGCCTTACTCGGTGCGACGCGGCAGCCAAGTGCGGCACATCTGGCGAATCGAGCACGTTGCGCGGACGACCCCGACGGCGCTCGACGTCGCCGTACGGGGCTGCATCTCGCACCACGTCGCGCAGCGCGATGGACGGCTCGGCCTCGCCGGCGAGAAAACGGTTGCTTCGCGTCGTGGTCCTCGACCGTCGAAGAAGCCAGAGCCCCTCGCGGTCCCGGTCGCCGAACCGGCGGCAGCAGAACGCGGCGCGGCGGAGACAGCGGACCAGGAGTCGGAGCCGGAGCCACGACGAGAAATCGTACCGACCAGTGGAGCAGGGGGGATGGTTGAGACAGGACGTCCTACGCAAGCAACAGGCCGCCCAGAAGCCTGTGCATGGCAACGGGCATGGACATGGGCATGGTGGCTGAATCGACAAACCCCCCAGATCAGATGAGACGGTTGGGTGGCACAGTCGATCGATTTTCCGATTTCCTTCTTGACATGGGGTGTCCACCAGATCCGGGTTCCAATGTCAAGACTGGACAAAGCGGAAAAGAGGGAGGAGAGAAAAAAGGAGTGCGTGGTTATGCTGATCTGGGACCCTCCACGGAAATCTCGTCAGGTCCCATGACCCCCATTCTCAAGACGATTGGTGTGACGAGGGGAGTAATTACTCTGACACAAGCTGAATGACGGAAGGCTGGGCGGTAAGTGGCCGGCGGGGCTTCTGAATTCGACATGTAATCATTAGTGCTGTTAGGTTAGTAGGTTGGCACACCGCGTACCTATCTACATACCTACCTAGGTAGGTAAGGCTGAGCAGAACAGAAGCATCTACACGAGCTGCACTGCACAGCCGCCGCCTCGGAGAGTAATTGTGTACATTTCTATCTGTACAGTCTTAATATGTCCAAGTCTTGCTTAGATCTTTGAAACCCCCCCCCCCCCCCCCTCCTCTCCTAGGTGACCAGAATTATTGAGGCATGGGATTCGATGTAGAGCCTAAAGGCATCTACAGTGTCTCTCAGGCGCTGGCATTCGGCTGGTAGGTGGGTGTCAAGTAGCACGGCCCCTCCGTCTCGATTCTGCACTGGGCCACGTGCCTCGAGGAGATTTCTCGCTAGCCGTATAGGGCTTAGTCCTGACCCCGCCGGCACCTTCCCCCGCTGTAGGTCGCGCTCTCCAAATGCAAGTGACCATGCCCGGCCGCGCCTGCCTGTCACTGATGAGCATGTGCCGCGTCTAGTCAGCGAAGCCAAGGGCCAAGGCAAATGCAGGAAGGAGTGATGGCAGCGGACGGGAAGGTATGGAAAGCGACTGCACCTACCCGCATCCCGAAGGTCGCTCTCAGCATCACGTAGCCCAAGTCAATACATGCTGTTCTTGCAAGAGCGCGTGGCCTGGTACTTGTAGCTTCTGCAATCTGCATCTGCATCTGCATCTGCATCTGTGTCACCGCACGTCGCCGGCCGACTTCTCCCTTTCCTCTCTCGCCAACGCAAACGCCATGACGCGCGCTGTCTGAGAGGAGCATTCACAGACACTCCCTCCAGTCGCCCCTCTATCAAACCCGCGACCTCGCCCCGACGAAGCACCCTTTGTTCCACACTACGTCGTCACACACCAGTCTGCCTCTGTCTCTCGATCAACCGCCTGCTGACTTGCTCATCGCCCACCGCGCATACCCCAACAGCGCGACCTCGGCGACTATCTGCTCGCATTTGGGCCGAATAGCGCCAACAGCCCGCATCCTTCTTGTCTTGTTCGTGGGCCAACATCGCCCGGTATACTCCTTCGTTCCTGTCCCTCCCGCGCCGACGCCTTCTTTTGTTCCTACGTCCCGTACATCGAGCCTCGGCAGCCTCGCAGCCTCTCCGGGAAACAACAGGCTGCCCCCGCCCACAGAGCCTCACGGCATCCAGCGTCTCAACTGCATCGCGCGTTATGACCACTGCCACGCCCGCCCCTCGACCTCCCACGATACAACGTTCTTGACCCGCCTTCCGTGGCAGACATTTCTCCCTTCACCCAGAACCGAACGGCAACTAGACACCGTGCCTGTTTGTCCGCCCGCCTCCTCTGCCCGCCATGGCTTCCGCCAACCGGCACAACGGTAGGTTACATCCTGCCCCCATCTTGCCCCCTCGTCCTCCACACAATGCTAACATGGGGTTGCTGTTCAAGGCCAGGCTGCTGCCGTCGAAGACCCTAGCTGGAACAACCAGACAGCCCCGGCGGCGCAGGCGTGGAACGCGCAGGCCTTGCTTGCCCCGCGCAGCAAGCAAGCCGTTCCTTCTCCAGCTCACGGCTATCCCCAACGCAGCTACCCCATGACAAACCAATTCGCCGGCGCACAACACAATGGCGGCATGGTCTTCGAGTTCACCGGTCCTTCCGACATGTCCAACGACTCACTCCCTTCATCCGTGCCATCGACCTCATCGACACCAGTCACCGACGGCCGATCGACACCAAATGGCCATATGCAGGGTTTAGGCGGCATGATCGAGCGCATGAACGGCGTCCAAGATCGCGCATATGCCCCCGCAATAAAGAGACGCAAAGTCGACACGCCCGAGGCTGACGCTGAGATGACTGGAAAGAAAGGTATGGGCTCTGGGGGAAGCGGCGTGCTCGGCGCCTACGTGAAAGAAAAGCGAGAGGAGGCGCAACAAAATGGGACCGCAAGGACCACACACACAGTTGATTTGACATTGGGTAGGTCCCTCCCCGTTGCTTGTGGCCTGCCACCACCAACTGCTAACCTCCATTTAGTGGATGATGATGATGTTAAGGTGATTGAACACCCCGACAACGAAGAGGTATGCTATGGCATGCTTCAAGGCAAGGTTCTCTGCAGCATTGTGCCGTCTGCTAAACCCGGAGCCAAGAGCCTGTTTGGTGACAACTGGTTCCCGCCCGCTAAGGTCGTGGCGAAGCGGATTACTGGAGATAAATCAAAGCGCATCTCACTTTACGACTTCACCCGGGAGATTATTGGCAATATTGACGAAATGACAGCCGGTGCTCTTACGCCCCTGATGGATGCCAATATGCAAATCAGGACCGATTGCAGAATACCTGCGCGGAAGAAGCAACCAGGGGAGGAGCCGCGGTCGAGAGTGTCCAAGCTGTACCCCCTCGAACTGGTCATCTATGGGCCCAAGAAGTGGGCAAAGCCCGTGGCAGACCATTTCAAAAAGAATTCAATGGTCCTGCGCCACCCCAACAGGGTAGACAAGGGCATTAAGTATGTCAACTACCAAGTAGTGACAACCGAGCCAGCGGCACCGAGACCGCAGGCCAACGGACGGACTCTGCCGAACAACTTTGTGCCGGGCATGGCAATTGCCCAGCGGACTGTCGAAGAGATGCGTTCCGATGTCATGGGCGTGTTCGATCAAATGGGCAAGAACAACGATGTTCCCGAGCTGGAGCCATCGGACCTCATTGTCACACCCCTACTGAAGCACCAGAAGCAGGGCCTGTACTTCATGACGAATAAGGAGGCCGACGCCACGTGGGAGCAGCGAACGACAGACTCATTTTACAAGGCCCGTATAAGCTCGACGGGGCAGCGGGTTTTCCTCAACGTCGTCACCGGTCTGAACGAACGGCAGCTGCCCCCACAAACAAGGGGCGGCATCCTTGCCGACATGATGGGACTCGGCAAAACACTCAGTATTCTCTCTCTCGTCTGCCATACGCTCACCGAAGCACAGACCTGGGCGCAGTCTCCCTTGATACAACCCGAGGAGCCTCCCCAGAAACCGTCGTCCATGTCTGCAGCCCTCAACACATTGGGTCTCACGAAACTGAAAAGAAACGCCAAGACCACGTTGCTGGTATGTCCACTGACGACCATCTTCAACTGGGAGGAGCAAATAAAGCAGCACATACAGCCTGGCAAGTTTAGTTATTATGTGTATCACGGCGCTACCCGCATCCGAGACGTTGAGCAACTGGCACAGTATGACTTGGTCATCACCACATATGGCTCCATCTCCACAGAACTCGGTCTGCGCAACAAGCGGAAGCCGGGCAAGTATCCCATGGAGGAAATTGGCTGGTTCCGTATCGTGCTCGATGAGGCACACATGATCCGCGAAACGTCAACGCAGCAGTTCAAGGCCATCGTCCGCCTGCAAGCCAACCGCAGATGGGCTGTGACCGGCACGCCGGTGCAGAACCGGCTCGAGGACCTGGCTGCTCTTCTGGCATTTTTGCGACTCAAGCCGTTCGACGACCGGAACCGCTTCAACCGCTTCATCGTCGACCCGTTTAAAGCCTGCGACCCCGAGATCGTCCCCAAGCTTCGCATCATGGTGGACAGCATCACGATGCGGCGATTGAAAGACAAGATCGACCTTCCTCCTCGTACCGACCATGTCATCAAGCTTGACATGACCCTGGAGGAACGTCAAGTCTACGATCTGTTTGAGAAGAACGCTCAAGATCGAGTACAGGTCTTGTCTGCCAATGCCGAATCGAGCAAGGGGGCCCTCGGTGGCCAGACGTATATTCACATTCTGCGCTCTATCCTGCGTCTGCGTTTGCTTTGTGCGCACGGTGCCGACCTCCTCAACCCAGACGACATGCAAGCTCTGGAGGGCATGACAGCAGACATGGCTATTGACCTTGATAGTGATGACGAAAACTCCAATAAACCGGCACTGAGCGAACGCCAAGCATACGAGATGTTTGAGCTGATGCTCAATACGAATGCTGACAAGTGCAGTCAGTGTACCAAGAAACTCGGCGCCAGCGATGGCGCTAGTATCGAGTCCGAGGGGCAAGAGGAAATTCTTGGGTACATGACGCAGTGCTACCACGTCATTTGCGGCCCTTGTTTCAAGAAGGTCAAGGAGTTGGCCAAAGATCAGCCGGGCCAGTGTCTATTCTGTCCCAACCAAGTCGATATGCAGTACATTGCACTGAAGCGCGCTCGTGCCAACGTCGAGCACGACGGTCACATCAAGGCCAAGGCTGCCAATAACGGCAAGAGGACGTTTGACAGGTACAACGGGCCTCACACTAAAACAAGGGCCCTGCTGGAGGATCTGCTGAAGTCGGAAGCCGAGACTGCTGCAAACCCTACGCTGCCTCCGTTCAAGTCGGTCGTCTTCTCCTCATGGACGACCCACCTTGACCTCATTGAAATGGCGCTTGACAGCGTAGGCATCGCTTATTCGCGACTCGACGGTAAGATGAGCCGCAACGCGAGGACCAAGGCTATGGATGAATTCCGTGATAATCCCTCGATTCACGTCATCTTGGTGTCTATCATGGCCGGTAGTCTCGGCCTGAACCTGACTTCAGGCAACAACGTATATGTTATGGAGCCGCAGTATAACCCTGCCGCAGAAGCTCAGGCCGTCGACCGTGTGCATCGACTAGGCCAAAAGCGTCCTGTGCAGACTGTACGCTACATTATGCGGAACAGTTTCGAGGAGAAGATGATCGAGTTGCAGGACAAGAAGAAGAAGCTCGCTAGCCTCAGCATGGATGGCAAGGGCAAGGCCCTCGATAGAGGAGATGCAGCGCGGCAGAAGCTGATGGACCTGCGGAGTCTCTTCAAGTGAGTCGGCGTTGGGGAACATGCGCTTATGGGAGGAGGCACGGCGTTGGATGGGTGTCATTATGTTTTACTCGTTTCACTCTCGGCATGCGATGGCATCCAAAAGACCTGGGGTTTAGGAAGTTTTCTTTTTCTTTTTTCACGAGGGGATGATACCACGACCACCCTGGCGGCAGTGCTCTACATTGGGCTATGGGGTGAGACGTTCTCGGTATCGCGAGAGGCGAGAGCGCAGCGACGCACAATTTCTGAAGTGGTAACCACGTTTTCTTTCTATTCTACGCGCATTATACGGTAGACCTCAGGGCCTATTCCTTCTGCATCTAGGTAGTATTGCACGGGCAGGGTGTCCCGGGTAGACATATGATATGGGCTTAGTTGCTTGCGCTACATTTGACTGAGCCTTCCTGCAGATTTGATTATCCTGATGAATGCATGTGCTCGCGATTCGCCGAACGCTTGGCTTGCATGGCAGGACTGGGCAGCACACTGCTTTTCCTCTCCCATTCACATGTTCTAGCTCACTCGGAAAGACTCCTAGTAGGACCAGGATGAGAATGTGGTCTTGTTCGGCAAAGTAGACAATGGCGAGCGAGACAGGTCGTTGAACCTCGCAAGGAAACTGAACGCCATTCAACAGAAACGAACAAATGTTGCTGGCCATAGAGTGGAGATTATTTCACACGGCTCTTCTGTTAAAGATGTTCATAACGACCAGATCAGGTCAACTCAGCCTTAACGTGCAACAGTCAAAATTTGGGGGGGGGGGGGGTATATCATCCAAACATTCATCATCATATTACAAAGGGCACACACACCTCCCAGATCTAACTTTGTGCGTCTAGTGGCCTCAAATCAAGAGAGGACAAATCATGGCCGTGACAGTATTCCACTTTCCCCGTCTTCCACCATCATCGCCTGTCAGCGGACGGCTGCCAGTCCATCATGTTGGTCAGACTTTGACGCCGTCGGCGGCAGGTGCGCTGCTCACGACCTCGCCCGTCGCTGTGACGACCTCGGGCTCCATCTTTGCTCCTGTCTCTGCCCCTGCCTCTGATTCGAGCTTGGTCCCGTTGGTGTGGGCATCGGCCGTTGCTGCTGTGCTTGGAACGACGATATCGGCCACAGGTTCGTCGGCCGGTGCTGGGGCGGCCATTTCCTTCTTGCTCACGGACACGACGTCAACCTTTTCTGGTGTCGGCGTGACCGTCTCACTCTTCAAGTCGGCCTTATCCACTACTGGCCCCAACGTCGGCGTAGCAGCCACAACCTCATCCTTGATATCGTGCGGTGCGGGAGCCTTGGTCTTGTCCTCGGGTCGCCCGTGCGTCACATCTCGCGGGATGAACTCCTCGTGCTTGAAACCCCTGGGGCTTCCCGGCGCCGAGTCGGTCGTGCCTGCCGAGGAGAAGATGCTCTCGCTGAACGAGTTGCCCGTCACAGGCCTCTTCTCATCCTGTCCAGCGCCCGCCGTCGTGGCCTGTCCGTGGGCGTTACGACCCGGAAAAAACGACGATCCGGAGAAGCGGTTCGCGCCCTCCTCCCTCGGCGAGAGCGCACTCGCCGGCGATGACGCGCCAGACTTGTCCGACTTGCGCGCTCCCCAGCCAGAACCCCACCCCTTTCTCTTCTCGCCGGCCCAAGACACCCAGCTGCCGACGTACGTCGTCGATTTGGCGCCGCTCCCGCCGGCCAGCGAGGCCTCATGATCAGTGACGCCATTCTTCTCCGCCGCGGCGGAGTTCGCGGAGGCCGACTGCGCGGCGGCCTGCTCTTCGGCCTTGGCGCGCTGCGCCTCACGGTAAGATTCCATATCGGCGTAGAACTTGTTGAACATGGTAGACGCCTTCTCGCGACCGGCAGCCAGGTTCCGTCCCAACGCTTCGCGGCCGACAGCAAAGCGCTCGTCGAGGTGCATGTCCTGAACCTGCTGCGCGATGCGGCGCTGGACGTCGTCAATGGTGAGGCCGCCAGCGCAGGGGTGCTTTGGTTCGACAACGTCGAAAAGGTGCGAGTCGGTGTGGGTGTTCCACATGCGGTGGTTCTCGGTGCGCTGCCAGGCGTCGATGAAGTCGGCGCCAAAGTCGAGCACAGGGTCGCCGTCAATGTGTGGCAACAGCGCCCGAGGGTTGTGCTGGTTGGCCTGGAGGTGCTTGTGGTACTTGAAGGAGGAGATGAGGGAGAGTATGTACTCTTCGAATTGCAGGCGGATGAACTCCTCGGAACCAACATAGCCCATCGTCTTGGGGCGGCCGGGGTTCGCCTCATCCCACGTGTCGTTGACCTCCTGCGTCAGATAGTCAATCCAGCGGCGGTCAGCGGCCGAGAGCGTAAGGGCCTGGCGGAGGGACGTCGAGGTGATATTGACCGTGTTGTCGTCGAGGTGGATGAGAATGTCACTGTAACGGTCCTTTTGCTGTAGGAGCAGTGAGTTGGTGCTGCCAACAATGTACGACTTCGTGCCAAAGTCGGCAAGAATATCAAGTTGCTGAAGGGGGGTGTAGGGCCCAAAGAGGCTGCCCTTGCCAAAGATTTGCAGCGGCAGGCCCATATACGTGAGCAGGGAGCTGCGGTCGCTCGTCCGCAAGGTTGTTGGGGTGGCCAGGCCCTTCTCGTAGTTGTTCATCTCGGGATCCGCGCAGTCTTGCAAATTTCGAATCAGGCCGGGTATCAAGGAAATGAGAGAAAACTGCATCATGCACAGACGTTCGCACCGCGATCCAAAGAAAAGCATCTTGGGCTGCAAAAGGCAACATTTGAGCAAGACAAGAGTCTGCCAGCGGAACTCGCGGACAAGCTCACGCAAGCTCATACCAAGATACTGGTCGCGGTCCTCATCGGAATTGAGTACGCCGCGGCGCTTCTCGTCAGCGAGGCTGTCTTGGAAACGGCGCAGGATCTCCGTGTCGGAGAAGTCGCGTTGAGCGAACCAGGCCTGCGTGACCACACTGAGTCGCTCGCGCATCATGCCGAAGAACTGGGGACTGTCGGCAATAACAACAACGGCTTTCTGTACAGTGGACCGGGTCACATCGGCGGGACGGTTGAGCAATTGGGCGGCATCGAGCTGGCGAGTGCATGATATGCCGAAGAGAGAGGTCGCCGGCACGTTCTCGTCGGGATTCGAGGGTCGGAGAAGGGTGAAGTAGGAGAAGTCTTCGCTGGAACTAAAAGGTAGAAGAGGTGGTCAGCTTCGAGCGTCGACGGATCCCCTCGTGGGAGGAGGGCCAAGGAGGACAGTAGCTTACGCGTGGGCACCATCGCTGAGTGCCATGAAAGGGAGCAGACCCCAGTCGTACTCTGTTGCGGGATCGGATCCCTCAGGAACACCAAACCACTTCTCGCACTCCGGACCCCTGGCATGATGAAAGTCGACGACAGTGACGAGCGGCGTGAACCCAGACAAAGACCTGGAGGAAGACAGGCTTGGTGTGCTGGGCATATTGGGAGTTGACGGAATGGACGGCGCCGCCGCCGCCGCCGCGACTGACGGCGGTGTGTCAAGGTTAACATCAGTCATGATGTGTTCGGGCAAGCTGCCGTTCGCACGAGTCGGCGGTGAATCGGCCATGTTGTCCTGAAAGCTATTGAACGTGGGGGCAAAACCCCTATGAGCTTGCCATGTAATTCTCGACCTAGACAGGGAGGCGGCTGGCTCGACTTGTCGGTGTCGTGATATGCCAGTGTCGGTCGATGTATTGGTGTCTGCGCCTGTGGCAGTCGTAGAGACACAGCACTCCGAGCGTAGTTCGTCAATCACGAACTCGGTGCTCTCTGGCTGTCGTCGAAGAGTTGCGGTAGGGAGGTCGTCAGAACAAAGTCCCGTCCTCACGGCTACGTTGTCGTGCTAGCTCGGTCCGTTGACAGGAATGAATCTCGATGGAAGATTGGGGGGCAACGTCCAAAAGATGCAGTACCTAGCAAAGGTTAAATGATGTTGACACCCTTCCGTCTGGGTGATAGCATTGAACCCCTCTGGAGAGGCAAGGCTTGACGATCGTGGGGAGTATTTTCCCAGCTGGCATGAAGCTTACAGATGTTTTGCGATCCCCCAAAAGACCGAAGACCCTTAGATGGAGAGGGAAATCAAAACAATGCTGAGTATGGGACTTGCGGTGCTGAACTGGGGTCCGAAGTGGATTTACGCATGGCTGGTAGATATGGTCAAATCTCCCTCGGTGATGCTGAATTGAAGGGAGGAGACCCCCTTCCTCGCCTAAGAACCCCCCTCTGCATTTGGATCCCTCCCTCCAGTTACCCAGGCATTGGCCACCGCCATGAACGCCAATCACGTGGAATAGCAGAGGTCTTTGGGGGGGGGGGGGGGGGTTGGAGCGGTGTGGGTGCTAGCTGGACGCTAAAAGTTCAAGCCATCAAGCACGATGACAGGCCAGGTGGGTCGTTCGTCGGCAGGAGAGCAAGTACCTTCGTAGATGATTGAGAGAGCCTTGAGAGGGTAGCACCAACTGCCGTACACTGCGCTGATGGCGACACGAGCCCAACAGAGACCACCAGCTCGCAGGTCCAGCTCGCAATGCCGGTGCCAAAAGCAACACAGCGTACGGCATTCCTCGTCTGGGGGGCCATTCCCGTGGCTTGTTACCCTCCGACCGTTGTCAAGACACAATACGTCACCCCTCTCTCTCCCATATCACCCCCAACCAATACCACATGCTCCTGTCGGGCCATAGGTTACGGGCGATACATCTCAGAGGCGACACGTCGACCACCTCAGCAGCGAGTCACAGGTCTTCCCCCTCCCTCTGCCTGCCAGCGTGTCTTGCATTGCATGCATTCGTGACCGCCCACTTCCTCCACGTAGACTGCCATTAGCCATTTCACAAGAGGGGTTGAGGAAAAGGGGGGTTTTCTTCTACCCCGCCAAGCTGTCACGTGCGGGTTCACAATAGAACTCGAGTCCCGTCTTTGAAACAATAGGGTTTTCGACTCATCATGTATGCCATTTTGCGCCCCCTTCCCCTCAAACGCGTGTATGTGTCGCTGGGCCTGCCTCTGAATTTGTATGAACCTTTACAGTAACACGAAAGTAAGGGGACGAGACGAGGACTTGAGAAGAAGAAAATAAACGTAAGAAAAGTGAGAAAGGATCCACCCATTCCGTCTCCCCAACACCGGCAGTATGAGAATGTACTGGTAACACCATTCGTGCTTTGCTGCGTCGCGTGGTATCATGCCCCTCCTCCTCCTCTCCCATCAGGGCTGTCGCTCGAAACCCTGTCTCCGTCTTGTTCACCATGGCTGACATCCTCATCACAATCGCCTGTGACGTCGCTCTGTTATTGTTGCGCCGCCTGAGCGTTGAGCTGTTCCTCGAGTTGTGCCACGTTGGCGTCCACATTATGGTAGTCAAGGATCTCGGAGTACCTGTGATAGGTCATTAGTATTGAACGGTAAGCAGTGTACAAGTGGACAGGAAGAAACGCACATCATGATCTTCCACGTGTCAACAGGCAGGTCAGCATCGTTGAAGCTCCAGTCAAACTTCTCCTCGGCGACGGGCTCGTCGGTAGGATCGTGGTAGGGAGAGAGGTATTCGTGCGACAGCGCCTCGGTCGCCGTTATCCTCTTCTTGGGATCGAAGACAAGCATCTTCTCTAGCAGGTCGATGGCCGAAGGGTCGGCATTCTTGAACTTGTTCTTGAGCGGCTGGCGCTCACGCTTGGGCAGCGATTTGACAAAGCGCAGCGTATTTTCGCTGGCGATGCCGTTGATGACGTCGTCGGGTGGTGTGCCGAGGAGCTCCGTGATGATACTGAACTGGTTGACGTGGTCCTTGCCAGGGAAGAGCGGCTTGCCCTCGAGCATCTCGGCGAAGATACAGCCCGCGCTCCAGATATCCACCTCGACATCATACTTCTGCCACGTGAGCATGATTTCCGGCGCGCGGTAGTAACGCGTCGAGACATAGCCTGTCATCTGGGGATCCTGGATGCGCGCCAGGCCGAAGTCGCAAATCTTCAAATCACAATTCTCGTTGACCAAGATGTTGCTGGGCTTGAGGTCACGGTGGACGACGCCCGCTGAGTGCACGTACTTGAGGCCGCGCTGCAGCAGAGTTAGCAAGTGAGGTCGAGCGCGTGGGCGTGCACGCAGCAACTTGACGCACCATGATCTGGTAGAGGAAGTATTGGATGAATTGCTTCTCCAGAGGCCTGGAGGTGAGTAGACGGTGCAAGTCGGTGCCGAGAAGCTCGGTGACAAAGTAGATGTCCTCGAGGGGGGAAATGAAGATGTCGCTCAGGGAAATGACCTAAATCGACTGTGAGCAGGTTGTTGTGAGAGAACAAGGCTGTGAGCCCTTTTGGCTGGGAATACGGACATTCTCGTGTCTGAGGTGCTTGAGAAGCTTCAGCTCGCGGTACGTTCGCTTGGCGAGAACCGGGGTACTGAAGGGCTTCATGATCTTCTTAACGGCGACATTCTGGTTGGTGAGCTGGTCACGGGCAGAGCTGGTTGAGCACAGGCGTTAGTTGGATTCCCTCACTTGGCCGAATGCACCTCAATGGCAACCCCCACACACAAGAGGCCATTCGCACGACGCCGAAGGCCACGCGAAGAGTGCTAGAGACGTGCGTGACAAGAGCGACAGAGGTGTAATACATACCAAACGAGACCAAAAGCTCCCATGCCAACAGGTTGCAGATCCGAGTATCGCGAAGTGATCTCGAAAGTCGTTCCGAAGATCTGTGCTCTGACGAATTCGGCCATGTTGGGCGATGTGTGGAAAGGACGTTTGCAACTGCTTCGTCAAGGGGGACAAGAAGATCAGGCTGTGTCGTCCAAGGCTGGTGGTACTGGCGATGCGATTGATGTGTGCGGGTTTGCCCGAGAGTCTGCGCGAGCGAGCGAACGGGGGTTTGCGATGGAGAATGTCAGGAATGGAGGAGAATGATGGTGCTCGCAGGCCGTCTGTCTGTCGGTCGCGGGTCTGACGAGAGAAAGAGAAGGGAGGGGCGGTAGTGCGGGCACAGGGAGCTGGGCGCGAGCAGCGGCGGGGTAAAACCGAACGGAGCTGGACGGTGGTCGGCGAGTGGGCGGGAAGGAGTCTCCTGGGCCTGGAACGGACGGAGGGGCGACCTTTTGACGGGGACTAATAGGGGCGGGGGGCGTTTTCTTCGACGCACAGCAACACATGTTAGCATTTCCATTGCCGATCTCGACTGACGCAACGTTTGCTGTCCCAAAGTGGAGTTGCAACAAGTGTGTGAAAGTGCTGTAGCTATTGGCAGACAGGCACCGGAGACGCATCCGACAGCAGCCGGCGCTCGCACTGAGCGATAGGCTGGACGCAAATATAGCACAGGAGCTATTTCCTCATTTCCTCATTTCCTCAAGGGACGTCAATGGAAGCTTACCTGGATCTTCCAGGATGGCAGTGAGGGGCGGTCGCAGAGTGCGCTCACTTGTGGTGTGGCGGCGCGTCGAAGGAGGAGGCCCGCGTCGTGAAAGTGGTGGCGTGGCGAATCGTGTGCTGAGCGACAGGGTGGTGGTCGTTGTCTCGTCGTCGGGCGTCAACAGGACCGAAATGTCGATGACAGGCAGAACGCAAAGATGGGATTTCGTGCAGAGATGGGGAGTGAAGAGGGGGACGGCGTGTGCAGAGCAGAGGAGCACATAGGCTTTAAGAGAAGCGGCTTTTCCAGAACCTGGATTTCACCTGCTTCTGCTTTGGGATCTGAGCGAGATCAAGGAGGGGTGCCCTGTCCAGTCTCCAGCGGGACCCCGCTACGCGGTGTGTGCACCTTGCCAGATTTGTGTCTAATGCTGTGCGTCCTGGCCCTCTGGCTTCCGTCTGGAGGGGAGATGGGTATCACAACAACCTGGTAGTAGGAGTGGGAGCAAGGCGCCGGAGTTGGGGGGTTGTTGTCTCGACTGACGGCTGCAGGGGTACGTCGCTGGGATCGAGACGGAGTGGAGCTCTCTGTTTGGCTCGCCCATCTGTCTCTCTCCCTCCCTCTCTCTCTCTCTCTCTCTCTCTCTCTGCCCACGCCTCTCTCCTGTCCGTCCGTCTATGGATTTGTGGATCTCAACCTCTTCAACTAAAACGTACAGTGGGTGGCTCGGCCATACCACCGTTTTGTATCAAGCAAGTACCAACCTAACCACGTCGTAGCCATGGTTCCCGAGCCGAAGGCTACGTACGTTCTCTTTCCAGAACTGGTTGACGCCTGCTCCCATCGCCGATACCTATCCAGGGAGAGTGTCAGCGTGGTCAGTGTGAGCCAGTCAACAACAGGACTGCCCACATCCATCTCTCACCGCGTGTGCTAGATCGATCGACAAGGCAGACGACAGCTCGGGCAGCAACACACCCACGCGGGCACAACCTCGAGAAGACACGGGACGAGACGGTCGAGGACAAGACCGGCTGACGACGCGGGCAGAAATCCAGAATTCCATGTTTTCATTCCACTTTGCCGTCTTGTGTCGTTAGTGTCCTGCTCCCTGTGAGCACGCCAAAAGCCCACACACCCTCCTACTACATCCTAGCCCACACCATCACCACCACCCTGATCGACCTTGGGGTCCTGATCGATGGGCTTGTCGCAGCCCTGCTTCCTACCGTCTCTCCACCGTCGCGCCTCGTCAGGCGGGCACGTCCATGGACGTGGGCGGGGGGCACCCCTGTCTATCATCGCACACGGCATCGCGATTCATGGGGGCCAGGCCTAAGCTTCGCTGACTCTTGCTCATGAGCCACAGTACAGCAGATTGACTGTCCCGCCCTCCAGAAACCTCTCTTGTACGCCAAACCTAGGCAGGTTTTCCCTCGACAATGTGGCTTTGCTTTTGCTACTGAGGCAGGCCAAGCAGCGCTTCGTGCCTGACGATTCTATCCAGAATCAAGGCCCATTTCCCCGGCGAGCAATGGGCACTTCCAGTTGTTCCGCCGCGAGGGATCAGGACCTGGAACCGTGTCTGTATGACGTCATGGCCTCCGACATCGAGATCGCTCGGCGGCTCCAAGTAACCCAGCAGCCCCGTTAAGCTGCATCAAACCCCACTAACGCAACGCGTGTACCTTTTTGCCCTCGCACCATATCAATCGGTACCTATCATCAGATGCACACTACGATCGAATCTCTCCTGCTGCGCGAAGCGTCCATCGCCAATGTGGCGTGTGATCGAGGTCATCAATACCACACCACAGCGGCCCGGACATTCTCCTCCGCCCAACACTGGCTGACGCACGTTCTGGAACGTCTTGGCCTGTGGCATTCAGCCCACCGTAAGCCACATCACTGTCACAATATTCTCCCGCCGAAACCCCATTGCCCTGAAGATCCCCCTTCTCCCCGCCCCGGCCATCTAGATATGTTATCAAGCAACACCGTTTCCGTGTCCAGACAGGGTTATCACAGCTTGGAAGGGTCGAAACGGCAACGTCGGACGACGACTTTGCACCCGGTACCCCGCTGTGCAGGGCACCGCAGGGTCCCCAGACCCTTCAGGCGATTCAACGAACTTTTTTTGCGAATTACCTTTGCTATGAGGCGTGACCCCATCATCACGCACTCACCAAAGACCCCGCGGGTAGTGGTGTGACACGGCATCAGTTGCTAGGAATTCGACCCCCGATTTTGATCCAGAGCACGTCGCCTGACTGCCTGACTGCCTCTTGAGGATTCGCGCCTGTTGTGCAATTGGTGGGGACCTCAAGACTGGCACTGCGACGGTAGCATGGTCATGGCTTGTTGTCAGTGTTACTGTGGGTGCACGCCTCATCCTCTTGCAGGCCCATGACAATCTGAACAGGCTCGGGTCTCGGTCTCGATGGCATTTTCTTAAACCGTCTCCACCGACGGTCCAGTCCACGCACCTCTCGACCCTTCACGGCCGTGGTCCCGCTTTTGAGCTCATTGAGCAAGGGCATATTTCCTCATTATGACGGCGAGCCTGAGCGACACGCCATGCTTCCCAGGTGCCTCGGCATGCCCCCAAGAGCCGCCGTTAGCTCGAACCACCTTGCTATCGACCCCTCTGGATGGGGGAATAGCCTACCACGAGGTACAGAATCGTCCCATGTCGGAATTAGCAATAGGGTAGCAGCAGATAAAAGAGAAAGACAAATGGGTGCGCGACCCGTCGACATGACCCAAGCAGAAAAACAACTGGACCCTTTCCCTCCAAAATCCCACAACTTCCAGGGTCCTACTCGAATGACATCATTCTGCAGCTCTGCTCTCTCCCTCCCCTCGTCAGCCGCAAAGCAAGCCTCTCTCTCCCATTGCCAGCAATTTGCCTGACTGGGTTTGGTTGGGCAGCCTGTTGCGCTCTGTACAAGTAGAAGAACCGTTGCTGACCGTTCAGACCACCGTTCATTCCGTCAAGCGATTTCCCCAACCCTTTCTTACCCCCAGAATCGTGACCCTCACAGCACGCACTGCAACATCATACACACATACACACACCCTCGACGCCTCAGAACGCGCCTCATCACACTCCCTGCCCCCCTGCCTCTGACCGCTCCTGTTGCACTGCAAAATCTGGCCACCCTGCCCCCACCGCGGCGTAAGAGACAGCATCGTCCAGCTTCCTCCTGCCAGCCCACGAAAAGAAACGCCACACAAGCAACTCTTAGCCCCCCCCAAAAAACCACCCCGAGGCGCTGCCAGGCCACCGGTCTCGACTCCTATAGACCGCGAACGCACGGTCCCCCTCCCCATTCCGTTTCCCCCGCCCTCATTTTTGCCCCTGGACGAAATAGCAGAGCGTGCATTCTCTCTCTCATGTGGGATTGATTGCGTCACTGAAGCTCATAGACGACAAACTGCCCCCCCCCCCCCCCCCCCCTTCCGCTGGTTTCCACCCGCCGCTTTCCCCGTACCGCCCGGTCGGCGCCTGCCCTGCTTTTCGTGACCCTCTCGCTGCCCGCGCGCAGATGCTGGCCCCTGCCGCTCCCAGGTGGTCTCATCCTGGGCAAACGGCAAGCAAGGCCGGTCCCCTGAATGACACGCATATGTCAGCACCAGCCCTAACTGTAGGGAGAACGGAAGACAGGACCAATGCGACAGGGGCGTCAGGCCATGGAACTTTCGGTAAGGATAACTGTTTGTTTTACGATAGGGTTCTGAGGAAGGGCCTGCGTGGCTCGTACATGTGTACCATGTACACGCAGCGATGAAGTTGTACATCACAGCCACAACACGGCCATCGCGTGAACATGGAAAAAATATTATGCTGTTCGAAAACAAAGAACTCCTCTAGGTCAAGGTCTAGGAGGACCATCACTAGGTGGGTTTGTAGGAATCGTCATGTGGCTGTGAACCCTCTCCGCCGCTTTCCTAGGCGTACGCCATTCCAGCCCTTTACCGGTCGTCAACAACCAGGGGCTCGATGTTCCAAATTTCCTCGGCATACTCGTTGATGCAACGGTCACTGCTGAAGAAACCCATGCGAGCCACGCTTGTGATCGTCTTGGTGATCCACTCTTCCTGGTTCTTGTACGATTCGTCCACGAGCGCATGCGTCTCGATGTAGCTATGGAAGTCATCCGAAGTGAGATAGTAGTCGCCGTGATCGCGTACCGCCGAGACTAGAGCTCCAAAGTCGTGCGGCGATCCGAATGTACCCTTCTCAATCTCGGAGAACACCTTGACCAGGTCCGAGTCGAGCGAGTGGGAGCCGTAGTTGTGCGCGTGGCGCAGATCCTCGACATCTTCGGCCAGGTTGCCGAAGAGGAAGATGTTGTTCTCGCCAATCTCGCGCGTAATCTCGATCTGCCATGACAGATTAGCATGTGGGTTCAACAGTCTCGTGTGGAAACCCATTCCACATGGCCAGGGGTCACTTACGTTGGCACCGTCGCAGGTGCCAATGATCAATCCGCCATTGAGGACGAACTTCATGTTGCTCGTACCAGACGCTCTGCCGCCGTGTTAGCAACCCCATCAAAAGAATTATCGCAAGAATCTTTTGGAGTACGTACTCTGTGCCAGCTGTGGAGATGTGCTCGCTGAGATCAGACGCGGGGATGATCATCTCGGCCTTGCTGACATTGTAGTCCTCGAGGAAAATGACCTTGAGAAGATCGCCAATATCTTCGTCCACGTTGACAACGGCGCCAACGTTGTTGACCAGATGAATGATCTGCTTTGCCATCCAGTAACCGGGTGCAGCCTTGCCACCAAAGATGGACACACGCGGCTGCTGTTTCTTGCGCTCCTCTGGCGTCATGGCCTTGAGGGTGAGGTAGCGATGAATGACACCAAAGATGTTCATCTGCTGGCGCTTGTACTCGTGGATACGCTTAACCTGTACGTCAAAGAGTGCCGCCGGGTTGACGCTGACACCAGTGGTTGACTTGATGTACTTGGCTAGGCGAACCTTGTTGGCGTATTTGATCTCAGCCCACTCCTTGCGGAATTCTTTGTCGTTCACAAATTGTTCCAGTTTGTTGAGTTGGGTCAAGTCTTTGAGATACTCGTTGCTGCCCGTGCGAGCCGCAATCAAGTCGGACAGGCGAGGGTTGGCCTGGTGGAGCCAGCGCCGGGGCGTAATTGCATTCGTGACGTTCGTGAACTTGTCTGGGCCGTAAATGTTGACGAAATCCTTGAAGATAGTCGTCTTGATGAGATCGGAGTGCAGTTCAGCCACGCCGTTGACCTTGTGAGAGCCGACAACAGCAAGATACGCCATGCGAACCATCTTGGGCTGTGATTCTTCTATGATGGACACCCTGCTGAGGAGTTCGCGGTCGCCAGGGAACTTCTTCTCGACAGCCTGGAGGAAATACAGGTTGATGTCGTATATGATCTGCAGGTGTCGGGGCAGGAGATTCTGAATGAGACCGACGGACCACTTCTCCAGAGCCTCAGGCAGCACGGTGTGGTTGGTGTAGCCGAAAGTGGCCGTGACGATGTCCCAGGCCTCATCCCATTCGAGCTTCTCAAGGTCAATCAGGATGCGCTGCAGCTCAACGATGGCTAGGGTGGGGTGCGTGTCGTTGAGTTGAATGGCGACTTGATCGGGGAACTCCTTCCAAGCACGCTTCGTCTTCTTGAAGCGACGGACAATGTCGTAGAGAGATGCAGCAACCCAGAAGTATTGCTGCTTCAGACGCAACTCCTTGCCCCTCTCCAGGTTGTCGTTGGGGTACAGGACGGCACTGATCGTTTCGGCTCGCTGCTGGTCGGCGACGGAGCTTTCGTAGTCACCACTGTTGAACTTTTGGAAATCGAACTCGCCGCTGGCAGCCTTGCTCGACCACAGCCGAAGGTTATTGGTGGACGGGGTCGCATAGCCAGGGATGGGCACATCATAGGCAACAGCCTGGACTGTCTCGCCGCCCTCCCAGTGAGCAATCGATTTGCCGTTCTCGTCGCTTGACTTATTGACATGGCCGTAGAATTGAATCTTTGCTAGAGTCAGCACAACGAGAGCGAGTTGAAAAGGTGCAGGCTAGAACGGTGATAGGTGGGACGGGAGGCAATCTTACATCGACAGTGACGTCGTGGCGGGGAAATTCCCAAGGGTTGAAGTCAAGCCAGTAATCGGGAACCTCGACCTGATACCCATCGATGATCTCCTGCTTGAAGATACCGTAGCGGTAGCGCAGACCGTAACCCCAGGCGGGGTAGTTGAGTGAGGCCAGACTGTCGAGGAAGCAAGCAGCCAGACGACCGAGACCTCCGTTTCCGAGAGCAGCATCGTGCTCTTGCTCGATGATGTCTTCGATGCGGAAACCAAGATCGCTGAGACCGGCTGGGGTGGAAACTCGGTCAGATCATTCATAATGTGATAAGGCTCATCAGCCCACTTACACTTGGCAATGTCCTTCATCCCCACATTGAGCATGGCATTGTCGAGAGCACGACCCATGAGGAACTCAAGAGAAAGATAGTACACCCGTTTGGCGTCGGTCAATGTCTGGCGCTGCTGGGTTTTGTTCCATTGAGTGATGAGGCGATCGCGGAAAGTCAGGCCGGTAGCGGAGTAGCAAGCCGTCTCATCACAGTTGAACATGCTACGGGCCAGGGACGTCTCGACATGGCGAACGACCTCGCGCTGGAAATCATCCTTGTTCGCGAAGCCCTTAGGCTGGTTCCTCGCCCAGGCCTCTCGCTGAGGCTCGGGTATGGAGGCTAGATAGAAAGGTAGACGTTAGTCTGGGGTATGCTGTGGTGTGGCCTGGTGATGACAGCGGTTGGTGACGACGAGGGTGAGAGGGGTGGGGGGCTTGGGCTCGCGAAAGGCTGATATGAGGACAGGGGTGCGCTTGTCGATCCGAGTGCGGGGTAGGTCGGACCTGGGATCCCCTCGCTCTCCAAGCTTCACGGCCCCAGGACCTCAGGCCCCGCCAGAGCTCGCCCAGCTGGCTTGGCGCATTTCGCAATATTGATGCAGGGAGGAGGGATATGAATGAGGATTGTGTCTGCTTACCCTCAACGCTCTTGATCTCGCCGGCACCGAAGCCGGTGGCCGTTCGCTTGTGCTTCGGACGAGAGATACCTGCGGGGCCCACAGATCCCTGAATGTCGACGATGGGGGCTCCGGTCGAGGGGCGACGCTCACGGAGCGGCAGTCGCTCCGCAGTGTTGGCGGCCTTGGACATGTTGGATGACTTGCCAGACGGATAACGACTTGTAGGCGGTTTGGGGGAGTCTGCTAATCACGCACGTCAGCGTCTAGACGATGGCGTTACAGCTTTCATGCCGTTCGGGAGTAAGCAGTTGCAGAGCCTAGTGATCCTGAAAAGTAGGGCGATAACAGTCTGCAGGTAGCTGCAAGTAGGAGAGCTTGTCGCGCAGCCAGCCGCGTTGTCGAGAGCTGGAGCTAAGCTGTTTGGCTGTGGCGGGGAAGGGCGGGGTTCGACATTTGATTGAGGTAGCTCGTCAGACGGAGAGCTCTCTGGTGACTGCGTGCCCACTCAAAGAAGTGCCAACAAGCTCAGTAAGAAGAGGCAGCTCCCCCTTCAGATGGCAGTTGGGTGGGAAAATGATTGCCATTGCTGTTGAAGTCGATGCTCTGACCTCGAGACAGATAGAGACATGGCGCCGGCGTTGCCGAGCTCGGTGGTCGATTACGCATGTCCAGGAGAGGAGCATTTGAAGTTAGAGAGACTTACTCGGTGAAGTAGCGAGGGGACTTGAGCAATCGAGCAGTGATCCTACTCAGCAAGACGGCCCCAGAGGTAAAGTAAAGAGAAAAACTGCTGGTGATGCTTTCGGGGCCGATTGGTGTTGAGCAAACGGACTGGGAGAAGAAAGGGGGAGGAATGACAGCGAGGAATGGAGCGGGGAGGCGTGATTAAGAAGCGGAAGCGAAGCTACCAAGCTGCCTGCTGCAGGCGAGGTGATGGTAGGTAGCGTCGCGGTCGAGTCAACCAAGCCGACCGGGCTGGGTGGGTGGCCGTGGCCAGACCAACCCAGATCAGATCAGATCAGATCAGAAATGGACGCCGTCTCACACCATGTGTGTGGTTGCTGCTGCTTCAGGTATCTTCCTGGCGAGCGGGTCGACAATGGGTCTCGAACGATGGCACCACCCCTCTTGACCGCGTTTATTCCTAGCAAGCTACCGAGCACGAGCAACGCACCGTCAAGGTACGGGAGCTGGGTATCTACCCACTCAGGCAGGCATGGGAAAGCATGCGGAGAATAACAGGCAGAGCAGCATCGGTAGCAGCGGGCACAAGCACCTCAGCCGATATGACCTCACCCTGCTTCCCCTCCTAGCATCGTACTTGGTGTTCATGCTACACTTGCATGGGAGTCTGGGAGCCATGATGCGGGGTGACGACTTCCTTTGCATGTCTTCGTTTCACGCCCATGGCAATTTCCAGTCAATGCCCATACTGCGATATCAGGCAGCGGCAAGGTGCAGAACAGGACACCCTCCCATGAGGAACCCAACCATATTCGCGTCTTGACACGAGTAGCTCGACTCGTTCCTCTTCGCTCTGCATGCATCCTGGGGCGTGCTTGCTGGCGCGCGTTGTTTGGCCCCCTCCCCCGCCAGGCCCGCAATAGACCCGCCTGTGTTGGGAACCTACCCTTCTATCCACATCGACGGTGCTGGCGCTGGCGCTCTTACTGGTACTGGTCGTGCCAGGACTCGTTGAGATGCATGGAGCCTCAGTGGGACCGGGGCCGCCGGAACTGATTGTCGGCCAGAATGACAAGCAACTACAAGCACCGACCATCCTTCCACTCAATACGGTCAGGAATGGAGAAAAGTGAGTGAAGGGAGGGCAAAGTGGGAGCTGAGCTGAGGCGAGCTGTCTACGGACAGGGAAGAGCTTGTTTGTGTTGCGGGCGCCTGGAGCTTAGGGCTCCATTGACCCCACACAAGCTCCTCTTGGAGCCTTTCCCTCACTGTGAGCCCCTCTAAAGACCATCAACCCTCCGCTACCTTACCTACCAACGATCCTACGCGACAGTCGTTCCCTATCGGGCTGTCTCGATTTTAGCACTTCTCAGCACCCCGCCAAGTCATAGACACACGGCGAAACAAGAGGAGAAGAAAGAATTGTTCACTTTCGCTGTTGGTCCGTGGGGTCTCAAAGTTGTTCGGCCCCCTGACACGCTGACCAAAATATCAACCCTTCGATCTCGTCACGTCAGGCATCATGATAGCCTCACATGACACTCGGGGCCTCCCATTCGCTGGTCTTCGCATCAAGCGCTGCGCCCTCGAATGTTGGGCTTTTCGCTAATAAAAACATTTGAAGGCAGAGGTCTGTGCCGTTGTCTGTGTCGAGAGCCTCTCCGTAGCTTCCGCCACGGCAAAGCCGCCCCAGCGCACACGTTGGGAAACCACGTTGGGCCATTCCTCACACCGAGATCTCTCGGAGTAAGGAATGCAAATAACCCACCCAATCGGACTACTCCAAAGATCTCACTATCATGTCGCGTGTGTAGAGAGCGTGGAGCCAAACGAAACGCCAACGCCGCCAGCAGTCTTTCCGCCCCAACGCCGGGCAATGCTGCAATCGCTCACATGGAAAAACATAAGAAAGGTCTTGTCAAGACATCATCAATCTTCGGCGGGCCGGAAACGCGCGCCTTTCCATTAGAGAATACCCGAGTCTCTCAGGGCATTGTTGAGAATCGTCTCCTTGACCGCTGCAAAGACAAGACGGATATTTGACGTGTCCGTCGCTTGAGTGAGACTGAAAGGAGGTAAGCAAATGTTCAACGTCTGTTCGGGGCTAGATTGACATACTGGGGATAGAGGTGCAGGTGCGCTCTGTTGACCTGGTTGAAGCGCCACAGCAAGTATTTGGCTGCTTTATTGACATCGTTGCCTCCCGAGTAATCCGGGAAGTAGTTTGCCATTGGCGATCGGTTAAGCTTTTGCTTAAAAATGTCAACCTTGTTCAGGAACAGGATGATGCTCGTCCTCATGAACCACCGAGAGTTGACCACGGAGTCGAAAAGGAGCAAGCTCTCCATCATGCGGTTCTGGTCTTGTCAGCACACCTTGCTCACGACGGTGGCTGGAGCTGCGGCTCACCTGGCTGCTCTCTTCTAGCAACACCTGATCGTACTCGCTGAGGGCAACGCAGAAAATAATCGACGTTACATTCTCGAAGCAGTGTATCCACTTCTTCCGCTCGCTCCGCTGACCTCCGACATCAAACATGCTACATCAACAGTCAGCATGCCGACTACATGTACTCGGCACTTCATGGAACCCTTACTGGATGCTGAGTTGACCCATCTGGAATCGTGTCTCGTAGATGCCTGTCGTCTTGGTTCTAGCCCGGAGCACGTCCATCTCACTGGGGAGGTAATCTGGCGCAACTATTCGCATGACTTCCTGGAAAAAGCTAAACGTCGATGGTTAGCCACCAGTTCACATCTGAAGCGTCCTGACGAAAGGCTCACTATTCCGCTGAGTCCATTAGATAGAACTCGGTCTGTCTCTCCATCAATTGGTCTTTTGCCGGGTCCCCCCATATCGATTGTATCGCCAGGCCAATCTGCGGGTCAATATGTGCTTGGGGACCAGATTCGACTGTGTAGTCCATGAGAAAGTCGGCGTATTCCTTGTTCTCGGGGGTAGAAAGATCCAGCTCGAACTGGCGCATGGCGAGAATGACAGCTTTTGCGCATTCGACAAGGTTCTTAAAGACCGTTGGTCGGTAATTATAAAGCTCGTCTTCGGAGTATCCCTTCAGATGTATGATCTTCATCTGCTTAACGATCGTCGACTTGCCGCTCTCGCCGGAACCTGTTCAAGAGTGCGTGAGCAGAATGTATATAAAATGCAGTGTTGTGTGATATGTCAACTTACCAAGAAGAAGAATCTTGCACTCGCGCCTAAGTCGTCTAGAATCCTCCTCCAGTTGCCGGTCAATGGCCTGGCTTTTCTTCTTTTGGTCCACCTCCTCGTTATTTGAACTCATACACGCACCCATCTTGACGTCGGGAGTCGAGCGACGGGAGGAGCGTTGATACGTTGTAAAGACTTCGATTGATTGATTCCGCGGGGGATGTTGCAGAATCCAAGAGTGGGCGTATCTGTCGCAGTACCAATCGCCTTCACATGCCCATCGCAAGCGGCCTCAGCGGAACGACGAGACGACGAGACAGGAGCGGAACAAGTATTGATTGTTCTTCCGCCACTTTACAGATAATGTTGACACGGATTGCGATAGTGCTTTGAATGTTGGACAGCAATCAATGTGGACGAGCAACGTAGCTACCTGGAGTGACGCCTTGCGACGTCGGCTGTCGGGTATCGTGGGATACGGGTGCGCCGTGTCGAGGTACGGATGTTGCGCTTCCTCAGACAGCAAATGAATTGAAGAATTTCAGCGACCTCAATGATCGAGCCGGATAGTTTCGTAGGAATCGAAGAGGGTCGGTTGGTCAGGTTGCTATGTTCCGTCTGGAGATGGCTGACTAGCGGACGAAAGTGGGTAATACGTGGTCAGCGGTTCGAAGATGCGATAATGCAGGGGAAGAGTAGTCGATTCTGGCCGAGTATGGTTATGGCCGACGGAGCGAGCAGGTTCCAACGAGACGGTCCGCAGCAAAAGTTGAAGTTGACGATTTGACTTTGCAGCGTGCTATTGATGAAGTCAGGTCGGAAGCCCGGGTCGGCGACTCGTGTGTCGTAAGGAGGTGACGGTGGAGGAAGGGGAGGGAAGGAGGAGCAGGCACCTGTAGTGAGGAGGAAAGCGCATTGGAATGGATAGCTTCTTTTCTGGCTGGGTTCCATCCACAGGGCAGGAGCGGGCTGAATGGTCGAGGGTTCGAGGGTCAATGGGGGGCGCTTGGGGGGCGCCACCAGCAGCCAGAGGGCAGTGGCCAGTAAGAAGCCAGGAGTGTGATGGCAGGGGCGGCTGGGGATGGGGTTTCCCACCTCGAGACTGGGGCAGTACTTCCACCGCCGAATCGGGCGCCAGCATCTCAATTGTACCACACGGCCTCAAGGTTTCGAGGCCAGGCATCTCCGCACTTTTAATGCCAAACTCGAAGATGAGGTACCCTGCCTACCTACCTACCTACCTAGGTAGGTGGGCAAGGTAGGTAAGGCAAGGTGAGCAAGCTTCAGGGTGAGCCCAGCATCTAGGCGTCGAAGGTGAACCAGGGCCTGCAAACCATGGGCGTCCACAATAGAGCAAACGTGTTAATCGAGCCTACAAAGTGGCCCCCTTGCTGTCCTGATAGAGATGGTTGCTTCACCTCAGAGCCGGTTTCGAAATGTCAAAGACTGGTGCACGCCGCAATCCGTGCTTCTTCTTCAGCGAACTGCGCACGTTCGCTACCTTTCGTGCTTGCGCCAAAGACACAGGTACCAGGGATTCTGTTCGCCTGTGCATCGAGAGATTCTCCGTCAGCAACGCAACGTCTTCACTTCTCGTAATGTAGCGACTCGGGGGACAGAGGGTCCACCTCCAATCTAAAGTATCGTCTACCCTCGACCCTCAACAGTCTTTCATTTTTACCCAGGTTCACCCCAGAACACCTCGGATTCGACAGTAGCTGAATGATTCACATCGATTTTGAATCCTGTTCTGCCACGAAAAATGTCTGACAGGTCATTCTCTTCCATACCAGTAAGCGGCAGCAAGGATGAAGTTTGCGCCGAAGGTCGTGTACCTACGCACGACATGACGTGCTCGACACACAGCCTCACACCTCACGCCCACACAGGTTATGCACATCACTGGACACCGCATTGACTCGGCGCCGAACAAAGAGTCGATCACCTCTCCCCCAGCATTTCACTCACGCATCGGCTCTCGCCAGCCAAAAGCCTCACCCCCCAAAACTAGCAGGTTGGTCAGCCTGCCCGTTAGAACCGTCGCTGAGCTAGTCCTATTGAGGCTTGGCAGGAGGCTTCATGCCTCTGGTGGACGTGAAGTTTGGGCAACCTCCCCTGCGCTGGTTGGTGACACAACGGATACAGTTTGCTTTTCCCCCCTCCTCCCTTTTCCGCCCTGCATCCATCGCAGCCGCCACTGCACTTCATTACACATATGAGGCGCCAGCCTCTCCTCGGGTTCGGTGTCATGTTCCCTTAAGACGCCCTAGCGAGTCTCTGCTGGTACTGGGACCATCAATCGGCCCTACAGCCACTCGAGACATGGGAGGCTCAGGAAGGTGAAGGGAGAGCTGAGTTGCACGTCTGTATCGAGATTGTGCAGAGGCACCCCGCAGTCGGAGGGCTTTGGTAGCAGCAACATTGTATTTGAAATCGTGGAGTGCTCAGCTCGTTGATCACGACGACTTCAGCAACACACCAACAAGCAACCATGTGATGAACCTCGCAGAACTTCATTGGCAAAAGTCTGCACCAAGCCCGAGCATCGATCATAACCAGCGTTTCCTGGAATTTCCCTGCCTTCCGCCGGAAGGCTTATCTCCACTGAAAAGTCAAAGTGGCATTCTCTAGTCGCACCGAGGTGCTCTAGAGTCCGTGCTCGTATGCCCACTGCCAAGCTTGATACACGGGACGCGTGAGAAATCTCATTGGCGGTTCACGATGTGACTGCCGGTGGAAAACACGAATGCCTACAGGGACTGCACGTGGCTCCGTGGCCATACTAGACGAAGCCCAACTGTCGGGAGCATTGAGGCATCGAGGCACCGAGGCATCACTGTCAGGCTCTCGCACAACGATGATGCTATAGTGGAAGACGAATGATGTGGGACTCGAGTTCGCACTCGCCATTTGCACCTCGCATGTGAATATGAGCTCACAGATAAGGGTCACTGGTTTTCGGGCGTGTTTTCTCCACGATACCCCTGCTCTTGGACCTCGCAACTTCCTGAACGAGAAATTCATGCCGATGCACCCTGACTCTTCACGCACGCATGCAAGTCGGACACTTGGCGCCATTCGAACACATTTGGATGGCGCACCCAAACCTGGCTGACTCTGTCGTGTTTCAAGTTGCTTCATTTCGGGTGCAGCCACGCCGGCTGACTAACATCATGTTTGAACCACATTCTTTCGGTTCATATTACCACTGGTCGCCTAGATATGCGTGTCGAGCGATGCACGATCGACTCGGCGAGAACGCAGCGTATTTGCAGCAGACGGCGTGGTGCAAGTACACTTGACCATCCTAGACAAGAGTCGCAAAGGTAACAAACTATCAGGAGCTTTTCCATGGTATGCACTGCACATTAACACAAATTGAACTCTCCTCAGGAACCTAGATCATATTTTCAGGCCGACCATAGTAGTCGGCACAATTGCAGCAGGCAAAACTCGAAGAACAAGGTGACCTGCGACCGATAGATACCCACAAACAAGGGAAAGGGCGCTTGATTGTTGGGACCAGAACAACATAGCTTGACTTGCACTAAATGTTGGAGACGATGACCAACACGGAAGGACAGAGTTCCGCCTTCATTGTCCAGGGGCGCCACAAATACCCGACTCCGAAGTTGCGGTCGGTGACTCAAACCTGGCCTATAGCGAGCTCGGTATGCCCCACTCGTGGTTTGGTGCATAGGCCACTCAACCCTGACACAAGCTTGACTTCCGAAAGGCGGACAGGTTGGCCGAGATCGTCGCAGCCTGCGGGATATAATGCACAGCGCAGGGACTAGAATCCCACTTCAAATGTGCTCCGCGTGGCGCAATGGTAGCGCGTATGACTTCTACACATAGGGATATCATAAGGTTGCGAGTTCGAGCCTCGCCGTGGAGTCTATATTTTTGCTTGCGACAGTTTCACTCTATCAATGATCTAAACCATTTTTGGTGCCCACATTGCGTCCCTTCCACACACTGCCACTGCGATGCGTTGTTGCAAACCATTCACTATAGGGAAGGGCCCTGTATTGCCAGTATTAGAAATGCAGATGAGCAAGCTGTAGTCTTACTTCGCTTACCAATATTCCTTACCAAACCCCCTCCCCCTTTTCAGCACAAAAGTGCCAAAGAACACGAATAAGGCCACACACATACCTACACAGGCACACGTTCGCGACTTTGTCGAGCCAATGGTTGTAGCCTTTCGATTCTGTGCCCCTTCGAGGCTGACGCTCTACGGCTATCGGGAGCCATTAAAACGCATGCCGTCGGCGCAGTTGGTCAAGTGGGACGGCAAAGGAAACATGCAACGACAAAAGCTCTGGTACCATTGGCGGCAGCGACCGTTTGGCCGCCATATGGCAGCGACCTGTCGTCGGCTGACGCATGTAGACCGCGCGCGATGTTTCGACGGGGTTGAGAGCGCTATTGATATCGACAGTATTTGTAAGAAACGACACCCGTGGACATCTAAAGCGGGTCTCCAGGCTTCTGGGCGTCATCGTCTGGGGTGTGTCTGCGGGAGGTTGCCGACATCCAGCGGCACAGGACCCAATCATGGCGCAAGCCGAGTAGCATGGATGGTGTTGCAACGCAGACCTACAGTTGCTATTGAGCGGTCTAAATTGCATGACCGACACTGCAGTTTCTCAACGGTAGTTCACCATGCCTGCAATATCGAAGAGGGAAGATCTATAAAGTTGCTGGTTGACTCGCCCCTATGACTGTAGTCTCATTCCCTCGGCCTCACGAAGCATTCAGCTTATACACCGAGAATCTGACATCTGCCGATCTCCAACCTAGCCACAACACATCACTTCGATATCAAACATGTCTTCACTCAAGCCTATCACGCTCTATGGACATGGTAGGAACACAGGACACTTCATGGTAGCAATCATTGCTGACCTGCCTCGCAGCCGGACCCAATCCGTGGAAGGTCGTCATGATCCTGGAGGAACTGGGCGTCCCCTACGAGACGGTCAGCGTCCTCCCCCGCTGCCTGTGTCTGAGCCGTTCACATGATGAGCAACCTTCTGACGCGGGTCACAGGAAAACGTCGACTTCTCCGCCGTCAAGCAGGAGCCCTATACCCTCCTTAACCCGAACGGCCGTGTGCCCACCATTGTCGACCCCAACACAAACATTACGCTCTGGGAGTCTGGTGCCGTCATCGAGTACCTCGTCGAAACGTACGACAATGAGGAAAGGCTCAGCATCTCGAGCTTCCCCGAGAAGCACCACCTTCGCCAGTTCCTCCACTTCCAGGGCACGGGCCAGGGTCCCTACTTTGGCCAAGCTGTCTGGTTCGCCAAGTACCATCCCGAGGACCTTCCCTCGGCCAAGGAGCGGTACGTCGAGCAGACGGTGCGCGTTCTCTCGGTGCTCGACAAGCTACTGGAGGGAAAGGAGTATCTCGTCGGCGACAAGTGGTGAGTTTTGGCCTCAACGTCTTCTTGCGATCGTGCTCGCGAGGCTGCTCTGCAACGAACATGATGCTGATGAGGGCAGCACGTACGCCGACATTGCCTTTGTCAACTGGAACGCCGCGGCCGAGAACGTGATTCTCAAGCCAGATTGGGATGAGAAGGTGGAGAAGAAGTATCCCAACTTTGTGGCATGGCACCGGCGGGTTACGGAGAGGCCGATCATCAAGGACGTTCTGCAGAGGCAAGCAGCCGGTCGCTGAGGCGCTCAGCAAAGATCCAGCGTGGGCTGGCTGGCATCACCATTTTGATTTCCTTTGCATGAAACTGCGAAATTCTGGAGAACCTCTTCAATCGTAGCTGCACACACTTCAGCGAGGGCCAAGCAAGTATCGTCACTTAATCTAGCTACATCCCCCCCCCCCTCCATCCAAAAATATACCATGATCGTAATGCATCGAACCACTGTGGCTCGCAGCGGCCTTCTAGTTAGTCCTCCCACACGGCGGCCTTGGCCCGCTCAGCCTCCTCCTGCGCTCTCTTCTCTCGCTCCTTCTCAGCGTCGCGCCTCTTGCGCTCCTGCTCCCTGACGCTCTTCTCGTACGCTCGCTGCTCCTCGGTCATCTTGGGCGCCTTGACGCCCAGCGCGCCGGCAATGAGTCTCCGCGCCACAGCGTCCGTCTTCTCGGGCCGACGGCGTTCAGCGTCGGGAGACAGCGGGGAGCGCGGGCCGGGGCCGGGGCCCAAGCCGGCATCGGCGCTCATGGAGGCCCATTGGCGCGTGGTGCCGGAAGACTGGTGCGTTGGCGAGATGGGCGTCGGGGGCGGTGCCTGGGCGCCCGAGTTGACGGTAGGGGGTGCTGGTGTTTCCGAGTCGGAGGCCGAGTCTTCATCCTCCCACGAGTCGGCCACGGGCTGCTTTGCTTTGGGCTTTGACTTGTTGTCGAGGGTCAGCTTGGAGAGGCCATTAGATACAGAGGAGGAGGGCATGGCGAGGATATCGGCGGCGGGCGGAGGCGACTTCTGAGAAGTTCTGAGAAGGAGGATGAAGGGTACTTGAAAGAGGATGAAGAGTCCTTGGAGCAGGATGAAGAGGGGGATAAGGAGGAGGGGTATCCAAGTGAACCGTGAATAGAGTTAGGAGGCAACCTGGTAGTGAGAGGAGGCTGGTCGAGAGATGAAAGAGGGGATAACGCTAGGTCGTACTCTGATGAAGTCTGCTCAGAAAGCACTGGTCGGCATGTATGGATGGACGAATGTACCGTTATTGTCACTCGGACCCTTCCGACGTGCTCTGACCTGCTCTGAGCCACGGCATCTGCGCGTGTGAGGTGCACCTGCTGTCCTGCATTGTGGGGTCGCTACTGCTGCTCTCTTCCCCGCAGACGCACATTGGCACAGCGTCCGCTGGGATCCCTACAGCGTTGGTACTCGCTCGCATGACACTCAAACGTCCGAAGGGAACGAAGAGGGAGAGTGCATGTGAGTCTAACAAGTAAAAATGGGGTGATGCAATAGAAAAAGACGATACTGCTCAATTGTTGCAGCCGAGCAAATGGCCACTTTCGAGGCTCAGTCGGCAAGGTAGCTCTCCATCAGAGGTAGAAGGTACGTACGCAGGGCAGCCTCATGCCACCCTCCGCTAACCTCGCGCGGCTAGCTCACCCCCTTCATCCGAGGTTCACCCAGCCAGACTGCCAGTGTCGTCAAATTTTGGGGGATGCGCATCATCCACTTTGGCGGTATGATTAATAAAGCTCCGCGAAGAGCGACGAGCTTCCACCGACCAACAGGCACCAGGCACGGTCTACCCAGAAACGTAGACATCATCACCCACCCGACAGCGTCAATTGTACACTATTCCGCCTCCTCCCCTACTATTGCATCCACCACAGACGCACATCCCGCCGACGCGCCTTCCTCATCCCACCCTCCCGACTTCTCCACGTCCGAGGCTGCACAGTCACCATGGTGCTTCGGACGACCCTGCCGAGGCGCCTTACCCTCGTTCCTCAGAACGCCGCGAGACGGCTGCGAACACAACCTGCCCGAAGGTTATGGACCACAAATCCCGCGTGGCAATCCTCTGCCGCCGCCGCCGCCGCCGCCCCTGCCGTCGTCACCCAGAGCCGACGAGTGCCCACCTCATGCTCCTCTAATGCCCGACCACACACCCTCGCCGCCTTTTCCACATCATCACGCGCACTCAAAGAAGACAAGGACAAAGACCAAGGCTTCTTCGACCGCTCCGTCGAGTCCCTGTCCGAAGACGAGAAGAAGGCCAATCTAGAGAACCAACGCGACCTGGAAGACGAGCTGGCCGAGGCATCCAAGGGACCAGCATCAGGATCCGCCGCCGATGCCGCCGCTAAGAGCGAGGGTGCCGCCGATGGCAAGGCCGGCAGCGCGGCAGGCGGCTCCTCCGGCTCTTCGGGTGATGGATCTGGGTCTGGCTCCGGTGACGGTGGCCGCCGCGGCCGCAAGTCCGCCGAGCGCAGCCTGCAGAAGCCTGTCGTGCCCGACGTCTACCCCCAGGTCCTCGCCATCCCCATCGCGAAGCGACCTCTTTTCCCCGGATTCTACAAGGCCATCACCATCAAGGACCCCAACGTGGCTGCTGCCATTACCGAGATGATCAAGCGTGGCCAGCCATACGTTGGTGCCTTCCTCTTCAAGGACGAGAACGCCGACGAGGATGTCATTCGTAATCCCGACGACGTCTACGACACCGGTGTCTTCGCCCAGATCACAAGCGCCTTTCCGATGCACGGCGAGCAGGGCAGTCTGACCGCCATCCTATACCCTCACCGCCGAATTCGTCTCTCTAGCCTCCTGCCGCCCAACGTGAAGGAAGGCGATGCAGCCACTAAGGTGAGCGAGGCCAAGGTTGACCCCGTGGCCGCCACCCCGGAACCGATCCCCCAGAAGCCCGTTGAGGACGACGTTCAGACCGACAAGAAGGGCGACGTTGTTGCTTCCTTTGAGGAGAGCGCTGTCAGCCCGGCCAAGCCCGACGCAGTCGCCGAAAAGTACGAGCCTACCGCGTTCCTTAAGCGTTACGACGTTAGCCTCGTCAACGTCGAGAACCTGACCGAGGAACCCTACGATCCCAAGTCTGCCGTCATCCGTGCCGTCACGAACGAGATTGTCAACGTCTTCAAAGAGGTTGCCACCATGAACAGCCTCTTTCGCGATCAGATTTCCACCTTCTCCATGAGCCAGTCGACGGGCAACGTTACGTCCGAGCCCGCCAAGCTCGCCGACTTTGCTGCGGCGGTCTCGTCCGGCGAACAGGGTGAACTGCAAGAAGTCTTGTCGTCGCTCAACGTTGAGGAGCGCATGCAAAAGGCCCTGATCGTCCTCAAGAAGGAGCTCATGAATGCCCAGCTGCAGTCCAAGATCACCAAGGATGTCGAGAGCAAGATCACAAAGCGCCAGCGCGAATACTGGCTCATGGAGCAGATGAAGGGCATTCGCCGCGAGCTCGGACTCGAGTCGGATGGCAAGGATAAGCTCGTGGAAAAGTTCAAGGAGAAGGCCGACAAGCTGGCTATGCCCGACGCCGTCCGCAAGGTCTTTGACGACGAGATCAACAAGCTCGCTCATCTCGAGCCTGCCGCCTCCGAGTTCAACGTGACGCGGAACTACCTGGACTGGCTGACCCAGATCCCTTGGGGCCAACGCAGTGCCGAGAACTTTGGCATCAAAAATGCCATGTCAGTCCTCGATGAGGATCACTACGGCCTCAAAGATGTCAAGGACCGTATTCTCGAGTTCATCGCCGTCGGCAAGTTGCGCGGCACTGTCGAGGGTAAGATCCTCTGCTTCGTCGGCCCTCCCGGCGTTGGCAAAACGTCCATCGGCAAGTCCATCGCCCGCGCGCTGAACCGCCAGTACTACCGCTTCAGTGTCGGTGGCCTCACCGACGTTGCTGAGATCAAGGGCCACCGTCGAACCTACGTCGGTGCGCTGCCCGGCCGCATCATCCAAGCCTTGAAGAAGTGCCAGACGGAGAACCCCCTGATCCTCATTGACGAGATTGACAAGATTGGGCGCGGCTACCAGGGAGACCCTTCTTCGGCCCTGCTAGAGCTTCTCGACCCGGAGCAGAACAGCTCCTTCCTCGACCACTACATGGATGTGCCCGTCGATCTGTCCAAGGTTCTCTTCGTCTGCACTGCCAACATGACCGACACGATCCCCCGTCCCCTGCTCGACCGCATGGAGCTCATTCAGCTCTCCGGCTACGTTGCCGACGAGAAGATGGCCATCGCCGAGCGCTACCTGGCTCCCGCCGCCAAAGAGGCCGCTGGCCTGCAGAATGCCGACGTGACCCTCTCGGAGGAGGCTATTGAGGAGCTCATCAAGTCGTACGCCCGTGAGTCTGGCGTGCGCAACCTCAAGAAGCAGATTGAGAAGGTCTACCGCAAATCTGCCCTGAAAATTGTTCAGGACGTTGGTGAGGAGGTCCTCCCCGAGTCTGAGGCTCTGACCAGCGATGGCAAGGAGGCCCTCGAGGCCTCGGAGAAGAAGGCCGACGAGGCTGCTGACGCCGACCCCGTGCCCACCGAGAAGCCCCGTGTTCCCCTCAACGTGCCCGAATCGGTCCACGTCACCATCAACAAGGCCAACCTGACCGACTACGTCGGGCCGCCGGTCTTCACTTCCGACCGCCTGTACGAAGTTAACCCGGCTGGTGTAGCCATGGGCCTCGCGTGGACCCAGATGGGCGGTGCCGCCATGTACATCGAGTCGATCCTGCAGTCGGCCCTCAAGCCCAGCAGTCGGCCGTCCTTTGAGGTGACGGGCAACCTGCAGTCTGTCATGAAGGAGTCGTCTACAATCGCCTACTCGTTCGCCAAGTCCCTGATGGCTCGCGACTTCCCTGGCAACAACTTCTTCGACAAGGCCAAGCTGCACCTGCACGTCCCCGACGGCGCCGTCTCCAAGGACGGCCCCTCTGCCGGTATCACTATGGCCACGTCGCTGCTGTCGCTCGCCCTCGAGGCCAAGGTCGACCCCACCGTCGCCATGACGGGCGAGCTCACGCTGACGGGCAAGGTCCTGCGCATCGGCGGCCTACGCGAGAAGACGGTGGCCGCGCGCCGCGCCGGCTGCAAGATGATCATCTTCCCCAAGGACAACATGTCCGACTGGCTCGAGCTGCCAGAGGTGCGTTTTCTCTTAGCCCCCCCCTTCTCATTGCTCTTCCTCTTCCTCCCCCC